AAAAAAAAAAAAAAAAAAATGTGGCCCCTAGTATGTTGTCGGTGTAGGTTAGCCTTTCTGTCAAAATTTTTCCGTCACCCTAGCTCAATTCATATATGATTAACATAATAATTCAAGGTATGCATGTTGAGACCGATCATTGTCTTTGTGACTATCTTGTCCCATAGGCCTCTCTCGAGGTGGGTCAGACCGAGATTGGCTGCGCCAACCAGCTTAATGTATTTTTGTTTAAAGTTTTATTTCATTCAAATTTTACTCTTTATCTTCAAAGGCGGGCCCTACCGACTATAAAGGGGTTGAATTCTCATATGTTTCCATTAACTTACATTAAATTGTATCTTCATCTTCATCACATATTCTATAAAGAGATCATTGTTGTATGGCCATGACTCGAAGAATTTTGGACCTGACAGTGCTTATAATAAAATTGGAGTATGAAATTGTGTTTAGAGACTTATTTTTCGCTCAGACTTTTAAGAGATGTAGTATTCCTAAATTGAGTTGATCTTCATCCCAGTCCCCAAACAAGATGTGGATGCAACTCTTGTTTGAGCTCCATTTTAAGGGGAAATAATGCATTTTGAATAGTAGATTGATCGAGAATGTGTGATTAAAAGTTAAAAAAAAAATGTTTTGAATTTGCGTGTAATATTATTTTATTGAATAATGTGTTATTGAAAATAAATTTGAAAAAAGAATTGTTAGAAGAATGAGGCTCAAACAGGGGCTTAGTTGAATAATGTTAGTTAGCACCACTGATATTATAATATCAATTTAGGTGATATTATATATCATTAAATGATATATCACTAAATGAGAGGTACAATTAAATAAATCACATTATTTTACATTTTATTGAACTTATTAAGTAATGTTACATAAATTGGTGTTCTAACATCACTTATATTAGACAATATTATTCTATTCAAAAGCCTTCCCTATATTTCCATATCTCTGCGATTCTTTCACTAAATTTCTTGATATTGCATGACGATCCTTGAATTTTCTGCATTCTGCAAAGTGTTCCCTTAATTTTTGAAGTTTGACCCCTGAATTTTTGGCATCTGCAAAGTGTCCCTAAATTTTTTGAAATGTTTAGATAAGTCCCTACTTTTTTGGTTGTGAGAAGCAACCCCTAAACCTTCTCAAATCTACAAATTAACCCATGTATTTACTATTTCTTTCAGATTGGCACCTGTATTTTCAATTTCCAATAGTTGCATTTCACTCTTAGACATGTGTGTCTTCTTTGAAATGGTCCCTGAAATTTCCTTTTGCTGCAAATTGTTCGTAGAAACTTATGAATGTACGAGATCGTTGTACAAGTAATAAGATTTGTGAGTTAAGAATATCGTTCCCACTAAAAATAAGGTCTAATATCTAGTTCAGTGGCTTTTACTAAATTCGAAGTAATATAAAATCAAAAGAGTTGTGATTTATATGTTTTCTATTCTATTCCTAAACTAAGAAAGCAAATAAATTATTTATCTAATATATGAATGTATTGGAATCGTGAATCTCTTATTTCCATTTAATTCAACTCTTAATTCATAATTTAGTAAATTCGAGTATTCAAGACAATCGATAATCCACTTTTATTCAATATTCTTTTTCAAGATATATTAAACATATGTTTAATACGATCCGATCGTATTCCTAGTCCGAATTCATATGAAAAATATGCATTGATTTACAGGATTTATCACACATAATTGTACATGTCGTAAATATTATTCCTAACACCTACTGTTCATGTGTTGATTTTGCCACGTTCTAGATTTATTGTGAGTATTCATACACTACAACAAGCAACTTACTATCTAATTTGGTGATCAAACAATTAAATAATTTAATAGGAATGCAAAACCAATCAAAAAAAAATATCGACGACTAAATTAATTGTCTTGAATTAAAATAAATAAACAATAGGGTTCATATTCATCCAATACAATGAAAAACTAGCATAGCATATTAGTATATAAATTACAAGAAGAGTAATAGAAAAATATCACCCGGATTATGAAAGAATACAAAAGACGTTGATTTTCAAGTCCAAAGTTGAATTTTTCAAAATCTTGATGTAACTGAACTTCAATTCCTTGCTATGGCTTGATCTCCTTTCCCAAAATATAGTAATTGACCCCTTGTTCTTGATGAATTTGATGAAACTATTATGTATGAAGAGGCAAAAGAGAAACCCTTTCATTGCTGCCCATAACTTGCATTTATCTAATGAAATTAGGTTAAAAATTCACGTCCAAATTGCCTTCCAAAAGAGTTTTAATCAAATAAGGAAAGTTGTCTTCGCGCATAGATGATTTTTTTTCTGTATAGTTTTAAGTAGGGCTGGACAAATCTCTCGAACCGAACCGAACCCGACAGTTCTTGTCAAATTAAATACCCTAACGGGTATTTGAATTGAAAACCGACGGGTACAGTTCGGTTCTCGGTTCTAGACCAACAACAAAAGAACTGAATAAGAACTGAATCTTTCTAATTTTTTTTTATATTGAATAAATCAAATTATTTTAATTTTAATTTTTTCTAAACAAATTAACAATTTCTAAATCCAAATTTTTTGTCCAATAATTTGTTTCATTTCTAATTTCTTACTTTTTGGCCAAATTACCCATTTTATTGTCTCATTTCTTAGCCGAACAAGATCTAACCCACTAAATAACCCTAAACACCTACACTAAAGTGCATAACGCTGTCTTGACTCTCACAGCCTCGTTGACATTTCAAAACCTATACAATTGTTGACCGACGTTGTGACCTCCGCCAACCGAAATTTTGACCTTAGCGATCATTTGAGCAAGGTAGTCTACTAGTTTTTGACATTTCAAAACCAGTGAATGTGTCATTAGTTGTATTTATATAATGTTGTTATAAATGTTAAAAAATTTAATTATAGTACAGAACCGAATGGAACCGAACGGAACCGAACCCGAACGGTTCCATAATTATATTTGGACCCGACGGTTCCATTTGCTAAATACCCGAAATTTTTTGTTCGATCCGGTTTTCTTTAGA